TGTTAACTACTTGTTGGTCTTTGCCTCCAGCAGAAACTTTTGTGAGCATGATACAAAACATGAATGCTGCCAAGTCCGGTTTATCTCAATGGATAGAGCGTCGGCTTGGGGACTGAGAGGTCCCGGGTTCGATTCCGGTCAAGGGCATGTACATTGGTTGTGGGCACATCCCCAGTGGGGGATGTGCAAGAGGCAGCTGATCGATGACTCTCTCTCATCGATGTTTCTAACTCTCTATCTCTCTCCCTACCTCTCTGTACAAAATCAATAGAATATATTAAAAAAAAAAAAAAAACATGAATGCTATCAAAGAAAGATCTTAAATATACCAACTCAAAAGGCAAAAAACCTGGGAGCAAGTATTTGCATTCATAAAAGTCAATAAGAAAAAGACCAATAATTTGATTGGAAATAAGCAAATAATATGAGTAGACAGTTTCTAGGAAAGAATTTCAAATGGCTTTTAAACATATGAAAAGATGATCAATCTTCTCCATAATAAGAAAAATGCAAATTAAAACTACCATCTTGATGGATACAAATTTTGATAAAATCATGTGGATGAAGGTTAGAGAAACAGATGCTCTCCCATATTGCTGGTTGGGGTAATCTGTCTCAACGACTGTGGGAATCAATTTGACATTATCTATCAAAAACCTAAAATGCGTATTCTGGCAGGCACCATTAGTTATATACCTCAAATCATTCTTCCATATTCCTTGCTAACAGTTGCTTAGGTGGCAGCATGCCAAATGCTAAGCAATGAGTTTATTTATGGATTCATTAGTATTTAACAAGCATTTACTGTGTACCAGACACTGTTCTAGGCACTGGAGATTCAACAGTGAAGGAAGAAACCAAACCCCAGTCTTCATAATAATTATGATTGAGATTGAGATTCCAGAGCCAAATAACAACTGGAATATTTTGATATACATTTCAAACAATAGGTGACCATATAATTTTCATTAAAAAAAAATGTAACACTTGCCCTGACCAGTTTGGCTCAGTGGATAGAGGGTTGGCCTGTGGACTCGAGGGTCCCAGGTTTGATTCCGGTCTGGGGCATGTGCCTTGGTTGTGGGCCCATACCGGGTGGGGAGTGTGCTGGAGGCAGCTGATCAATGTTTCTCTTTCATCGATGTTTCTGGTTCTCTATCCCTCTCCGTTCCTCTCTGTAAAGAATCAATAATATATATATATATATATATATATATATATATATATATATATATATATATATATATATTATTTTTTTTTTAATGAGACACTTATCAGAGTGAATGGAGTGTTATTAATAAAATACACCCAGGTGCTAACTGGGATGGTCATAAGAAATATGGTTGCCCCTAGTAATTCTGAGACAATGATGACAGCACCATAGGCTCAGTTGCTGTTCTAAACAATGCCCTTCCATTCTACAGTGATTCCACCAGAAGTCTTCCAGTCCACTGGGGGTGTGGGGTTGAGGGGTAGGGATTAGAATCAAATTAGCTCTGGAGAAAGCACAAATAACAGATAAATATGAAAAGATACTCATCCTCCTTATAATGAGGAAAATTGAAATTAAATTTAAAATATAGAGAAAGGATGTGGTCAGAATACTTTCAAAACATGTGTTACCTTTGTTGTGACATTTAAATGCAATATATAATTTTTTGGACATAGCTCCAGATATAAAACTGATTAAAACATTGTTGTTAAAGTAAGGAAAAACCATATTATACTAACCAGATTTCAGTTTTTAAAAACAACACAGAACACTAGAATACTGAAAACTAATAGCATAATCACCACCCATTCCCTTTTGCCAGATAGTCACTTTACCAGCCTCCTTGTGAACTAATAGTGGCTAAAAAAAACATGGGGTACTCTAGCTGGTTTGGCTCAGTGGATAGAGGATTGGCCTGGGGACTGAAGGGTCCCAGGTTCGATTCTGGTTGAAGGCACGTGCTTTGGTTGCATAGGGGGCATGCAGGAAGCAGTTGATCAATGGCAGGAAGCAATTTATCAATGCTTCTCTCTCACTGTTGATGTTTCTCTCTCTCCCTCGCCCTTCCTCTCTGACATCAATAAAACCATATTTTTAATTTAAAAAAAAAAAAAAAGTTAGTTGGCTAAGGTTTGCAGAGAAGAAAGAACCCAGAGCTCTTTCTTGATGACTTCGGGGAACTACTGGACCAATTTGACAGAGAATTGTAAGAGGTGCCTGCCTATGCCAGGAGGAACGGAACATTCTTATTATCAGAGACATCAAGGCCAGGAGAACTCTGAACACGCAGACCTTGTTAAAATAACTCTATCATCCTTTATTCTCCCCATAGATTTTGGTTACTTTCCCACAATTGCCTCTTTGTTCAACTTAATATAAAAAAGCATTTCGATATTGCCACTTCTTTGGGTCTTCGTTTTCATATGGGAGCTCCCATGTACATATAAAAATCTGTATGCCTTTCTCCTGTTTGTCTTATGTCAATTTAACCCTCTGTCCCAGTAGGAGACCCTAAAAAGATAAAGTTTTGCCTTCCCAACACTTATTCAAATAAGACTGTAATGCCTGGGATCTATCAATCCTTAAACATTTAAACCAAAAATATTTTTTTGTCTATGTTAGGGTAGCGTTTGTTTTTTAGGGGGGGGGGGGAGGTTTTTTTTTAGTAAAAATATAATTTCAGCCCTTGCTGGTTTGGCTCAGTGGATAGATAGATCATCAGCCTGTGGACTTAAGAGTCCCGGTTGGATTCCAGTCAAGGGCAGCGTACCTCAATTGCAGGCTCAATCCCTGAACTGATCAGGAGGCAACCAATCAATATGTCTCTCTCACATCCATGTTTCTTTCTCTCTATCTCTCCCCCTCCCTTCCACTCTCTCTGAAATGGAAAAAAAAAAAAATATCTCGGGTGAGGATTAACAGCAACAGCAACAAAATACAACCTCAAAAAACATGTAGTTTGATAGAAGTAAATTACAGACATAAAGAACTTTCAGTATCAATTCTCACATTATAGGGATAAAGCTCAAAGTGGCAGAAATTGCTATCAGCAAACAAGCTAACGTTTATGTAACCAGCCCCCTTCGCCTAATTTATCTGCCATTAGTCCAAAGTATTGATTTATGTTGAAATTGTAGGACAAATTTTTGAACCAAAGATGTTGAACCCAGAAACATGTGCCACATGTTTTGAGGGCTGACTTGGCTTCTACATTTTTTCAAAAACATCAGTGCCCACACCTCTATAGTTTCTCAAAGAGGAAACTTGCCAAGATTCTGTGTGTGATTCCTTCCCCTAAAATTCCAGACATTCTTGTCTCCAGGCCTCACCGAGGGGAGGGTGCGTTGTGGAAATGAAAGTGATCTTTGTGGGTTATTGTGTGGCGATACCTCGCTGGGGCACCAGAGGGCGCGCGGAGGGCCGGCGCTTGTTTTTCTTTAAATCCAGAATCCAAGTCCGTGCTGAGAAAAACAAAAGGCTGGGACCGCTGGGGCCCAGAGACAAAGAGACGTGGAGAAAAAGGCTGCACGCCCAGTTTCACTGGAGTGAAATTGCTTCCTCCTCCCACGCCCATCTCCGCGCCTTTAGAAGCTAGAAATAAACAACTTCGGCTACAAACTAATGAAATCTCCGAGTAACAAACAAAACAGAGTCGAATAGATTACTTAGTAGAGTTGTCCCCATAGGGTTAGGGGAAGATATCACAGGTGTACATTTGAGCGATTTGCAGGCCTGATGTTAGTAACCTTAAAAATATTTGTTATTGTTTTGTTTTTCTGAGTTTAAGAAGAATCTATGCACATAAGTAGAAAACTTAGAAAATATTGAAAAGCAAAAAGAACAGACATTCTCTAACCCTGATCGTCCTATATTTCCTTCCAAGATTTGTTTCAGTATTTATAAGTGCATGGGGGGGGGAGGAAATGGGACTCTGCATGCTATTCTGCGCTCGTTTTCCTATCATTTATTGCATCATCTTCACTTTTTAGCAACAAATGCTCATAACACAACCTTGCTAATCACAAGCCCTGGTAGAAAAGCAGGAGATTTCAAATGTGCTACAGGCAGCTTTTTTCCTGAGGCTGCAGCAAGTTGTCAGCTCCAGGGCAAGTACTTGAAGCAGGAATGTTTCTGTTGCTTTGCATTTAGGTAAAACAAGTAAAGACTTAAAAAGGAGAAGCTATGTCACCAGACCCCAAATAAGTGGAATGAATGTGTCCTTTGTGGGAGCCTGAGGACTGACCCCAAAAGCAGAGAGCGTAGGTCACCAGAACCCAGTGGTCCTCCCACTGAGGCCAGTGCCATTACAGACCAATATACACAGTTACTGACACAGGCAGGCCAGCAAAGTGGTCAACAAGACATTAAAAAAACTGAAGGATGCCCAGGACCAAACTATTGTAGAAACAGTCGGACCTGCATCACCACCATTTGTCCACCAACCAGATCTGAAATATCATGGCTGGCATGTACACATAAGGAACTATCTGGCATTGAATTTGGGACTCAAAAGAACTGTTGGCCCAGAAAGGAACTCACTACAAACTGATTCATTTGCCTCTCAGCATAACCATTATGGCTTGTCGCAGTTTAGGTTCTTACAAGGGTATTTCTTGGATCACATGATCTCACACAACTAGAGTAAATAATGAACAACATAAACTGATGAACAAAAACAGACCCAGAGAAAGAGAAGCAGCGATTAGACTCTCAAACCTCAGAGGGAAAGTAGGGGAGGGTGGGGGTAAGGGGAAGAGATCAACCAAAGAACATGTGTGCATGCATATGGGCCTAGCCAGTGGCCATGGACAACAGGGGGGTGGGGGCATATGTAGGGAGGGGTTTGGGATGGGAATGGGGGGATGAGGACAATTATGTGATACCATAATCAAATAAATAAATAAATAAATAAATAAATAAATAAATAAATAAAACGTACAATCCCTTGGGGTGGGGAGGGTCAGGAACAGGAAGGTCACTGAGTTTGAGGCTAGGGACCAGTTGTCACATCTGATTTTTCTCAAAGAGCAGCTGAGACTAGCCCAGAGGCAGATTACAACAGGGAAGGTGATTGCCAGATCTGATGCCCCAGAGGCACCCCGAGACAACTAATCACTGAACCTGCTGCCATGAATTACTGTAGCTAATAAAGGGAAGAGTGGTGATCTTCTCGACCTAGAACATCAGAGAAATCGCTGGAGCTCTCTAGGCCTCAGTTTCCTTATCTGTACAATGAGAGGGTCTTAAAGATCTTGGAAGTCTCCAGCGGTTGCTTAATCTGTGATTTTTCACTGTCCCCAAATGTGCACGATAATGAAAGGTGAAGACATTTCCTGCAATCCACATGCAGCAGCCCTTCGACTGGGTATTTCCAAATCTCCACAGATGCTTTCTGAGCCTTTGCTTCCTCTTCTAGAGGTGCTGGGGCACCTTCCCCCTCCTCTTTCAAAGCTCTGCATCACCTTTTGAAGGCCCAGATGAAAAGGAGGCCATTTTCAACCCCTAGCTGAACTAGTCCTTCCTTCTCCAAAGTCCAATAGTATTTTGCACTTACTTCCACCATTTTCTACCTGTGTGACCTCAACCTTCCTGACCCTCAGTGTCATCATCTGTAAATGGGAGGGAAGTACTATTATACATATCAAATTCATAGGACTGTAAAAAGGATTACATATGTAAAGCACTTACAACAAAGCCTACATGCAGTAGGCTCTCAATAAGCATGGACTATCCCTTCACCATGACACTTAAAACTATCAGTTAATGCCCTAGCTGGTTTGGCTCAGTAGATAGAGCGTCAGTCCTGCCTACTGAAAGGTCCCAAGTTTGATTTCAGTCAAGGGCATATGCTAGGGTTGCAGGCTCGATCCCCAGTAGGGAACATGCAGGAGGCAGCCAATCAATGATTCCCTCTCAACATTGATGTTTCTATCTCTCTCTCCCTCTCCCTTCCTCTCTGAAATCAATAAAAATATATTTTAAAAAAACAAAACAAAAATTATCAGTTAAAGGGTCCACCTCCCCCATGAAATCTGTGTTCCTGGAGGGCAGGAAGTGAGCCTTACTGATATCTCTGTCACCAATGCCTAGCTCCATGCCTGGCACAAAGAATAAATCAAAAAAGATTTTGGGGTGTATGCTTGTTTGTTGTTGTTCTTTTAATAAGAAAAAAAAGGAAAGAGTAAAATGTTAAAGTGTTGATTGCAGTGGAGGGGGATAGACTTTAGTTTTTCAATTTTCACTCTGGGTTACTATTTAAATAAATTAAGAAAGGAAATGGTAATCTATAAACTTACTCATGGATTTTTCCCCCCTTAATAATACAAATATGTATCCATCTAAGTCTGTCTTCCAGACCCAAATCGTAAATATTCAACTTGGAATATTAATGTTTATGGATGTTTAGTGTCCATATTTGCATGGAGTGTTTTTCACTTTAATAAATGTAAATGATGTTTCTGTGAATGAATGATTATAGAATCCAAAACTGCTTGGGAACAATTTAGGCTATTCTTTAATTATGGGGCAGGAGAAGAGGGAAGTAGGGAGGTTGTGTAGTGAGCTGGCCCAAGTTCATGTTTACATTATGTTCAGAGGGTGGGTTGAGGAAGTGAAAATAATAGAGAGAAAAAAGAAAGAAACACAAGAAACAAGGTCATGTATGGTCAAACTAAAAAACACAAGTTGTTTAAGAGAGTGAAAAGACAAAACCCAGCTCAGAAGAACATACATCTCCCAAGATATAGATGTGATGAAATATTGCAAGACATATCTCCAGATATAGTTTGGAACACATATCTGATTTTTTAAAAAGACTAGTAATTAGAATATACAAAGAACTTTCAAAATGCAATAATAAGAAAACAACTCAATTTTAAATTGGGCAAAAGATCTGGATGCCTAAATAAATCCATGAAGTGATGCTCAACATCATTAATCGTTAGAGAAATACATGTTAAAACCACAGTGAGATCTCACTACACATCTATTAGGAAGGCTTAAACAGTTGAAACCGGTTTGGCTCAGTGGATAGAGTGGTGGACTGACAGGTCCTGGGTTCTATTCTGGTCAAGGGCATGTACCTTGGTTGTAGGCACATCCCCAGTAGGAGGTGTGCAGGAGGCAGCTGGTCAATGTTTCTCTCTCATCGATGTTTCTAACTCTCTCTTCCTCTCTGAAAAAAATCAATAATATATATATTTAAAAATTTTAAAAAGGCTTAAATTTAAAAAATATACAGCACAATACCAAGTTGCTTTGGGGAAGGGAGATATTATTCAACCAGGTGCCTGGTCAAATTATCGTGAATTCTGAATGAGTTTCTGTTTTGCCTGAAGCCCAATTCTATGCCCATACTTCTGAAGGTAAAAGGAAGAACCAGGCAGATTGGAAATGAAAGGGGAAGTGGGAGCACTGTATACGGGCAATGCAGAAGAGCTCATGGTCTGGAGAAGGAATAAATATAAAATGAGTTTAGATTTCTCTGAAGCAAAGGACAAGACAGGGGATGTTTTATAAAAATCGGTGTGATTTTCTTTAACATTTGTAACTTTTATGTGCTCAAGTGTCCTGGTACCATGAACATGGTTGGTGTAAGATATATCTCTGCAACTACTGTTTATATATTAACACTAGGAGCCCAGCGGGCGATTCGAAATCCCACAGCACTACCCACCCTAGAGTCGCTGGTCCAGCCCTGCCTCCCTCTTTGGCCCCTGAAGCAGCCGTGGCCGCTGCTGATCCGGCCCTCCCCAGCCCATGCACAAGGAGGCCCCTGCCACCCCACCCCAACACTGTGCCCACAACCTCCACCTCGTTATGGTGCCCCGGTTAATTAGCATATTTCTCTATTTTTTATGCATATATAGAATATAGGTTGGTTCACTTACTTTTTAATTAAAGACAACACCACCAAGAAAGCAACCTACTTGTGTTTATGGATGTGGACTTTTGGCCATCTCTCTGTGAACAGTCACTGCCTGGCTCCCCACTGCAGCAAAGTACTGAGAGCTGGAATAGTTCCCAGGAAAGTATATTGGAATTCACTTTATTTCCTCATTAAAGTCAGGCAATTACAGGGTATAGGATAAATTATGCCTCCGCTTAAATAACATGTTTTCCCTTAATTGAGGGAGAATTCTTCTCTATTGTTATCTTCACACATCTGGCTATAAATCCATACACGAAAAGGAGAGTTTTTAAAAAATGTTCCCAAATAAATATCAGCATGAGATTTTTTAATATGCTAACAATGACTATTCCATGGAAGTCATTTTTCTAGTTAAGTTTCAGCAGCTCCTTTTCTCTGAAATTTCAACTATATTGATGAGACTACCTCTTACATGTATTTACACTTGCCTACATTGGTAAATAGGGCATGGTAGATTATATTTAACCTTTTTTTATGACTTCAATTGAAAATTATGTATTTATATTGGGCTGAATGGTGATCCCCCAAAAAGATGTACTCATATCTGGTATGAATTCCACAAAATTCATATATGGAAGCCCTAACTCCCTATATGCCAAATTGTAGTTATATGTAGATCAAATAAACTCTTTAAGAAGGAAATTAAATTAGAATGAGTCCTTTAGGGTAGGCCTGAAAGAAAAAAAAAGAAGTGATGGCTATCATAGAAATAGCCTAGAACTGTGGTCGGCAAACTGTGGCTCACAAGCCACATGCAGCTCTTTGGCCCCTTGAGTGTGGCTCTTCCACAAAATACCATGGCCTGGGCAAGTCTATTTTGAAGAAGTGGCATTAGAAGAAGTTTAAAAAATTTGGCTCTTGCCAAAACCAGTTTGGCTCAGTGGATAGAGCATGGGCCTGCAGACTGCAGGTCCCAGGTTTGATTCTGGTCAAGGGCATGTACCTTGGTTGCAGGCACATCCCCAGTAGGGATTGTGCAGGAGGCAGCTAATTGATGTTTCTCTCTCACCGATGTTTCTCATATTCTATCCCTCTCCCTTCCTCTCTGTAAAAAATCAATAAAATGTATTAAAAAAATAATAAAAATAAAAAACTTGGCTCTCAAAAGAAATTTCAATCGTTGTGCTGCTGATATTTGGCTCTGTTAACTAATTGAGTTAACCAACCACTGGCCTAGAAAATCAAAATTCATATAACAGTACACCTAAAAAAAAGTGAATTTTGTTGAACATAAATTATACCTCAATAACCCCTAAAAAACATTCATTCATTCATTCATTCATTAATAGTAATGAGTAAGAAGCCAAAAAAAAGTTCTTAACAGCCTGAGAGACCCTGCATTGTCCCACACCACTAGCCTTCAGCCTCATCTCTCCCATGATACTCCCCACTCTCCCTAGCTACTTCGGTCTCCTTTCAACCCCTCTACTCACCATGACTCCTCAGTTCCTGTAACCATTGCTCATCCAGTTCCATCTACCCAGAAAGCCCTTTCCTCATCTTTTTAATAACTGTCACAGCTGCAGTTTTATCTTTTTCTTGTTACTGTTTTCCTTTGATTAATGATATGTGTCTCCTCCACTAAAATGAAAGCTCCTTGAGATCAGGTTTGGTCTTTGCTCATTACTGATTCTCCAGCTCTCAGCACTATACTTACCCTACACCAGTGATCAGCAAACTGCAGCTCTCGAGCCACATGCGGCTCTTTGGCACCTCAAGTGTATCTCTTCTACAAGATACCATGGCCTAAGAGAGTCTATTTTGAAGAAGTGGCATTAGAACAAGTTTAAATTTAAAAAATTTTGGCTCTCAAAAGAAATTTCAATTGTTGTACTGTTGAGATATATATATATATATATATATATATATATATATATATATATATATATATATAAAGTGTCCCAAAAAATGTATACACACTTTAGCAGATAATAACTTATTTAATTTTCACTCTTTTTCAGGTTTAATTGGTTTGAAATAATGGGTGAAGCCAGATTAATCTTTAAACATGGAAAATTTATCCTAAAGTGCCACTAGACTTTTTTATGGAGGTACTTAAAAGATAAAGTTTACAGTACAAAACTAGCAACTGCCAATGAACCGAATGCAAATAATACCAAATGAAATGATTCTTGATGTTTGCTATTCCACAGCTTCGAATGATAGCTGCTGGGACCAGAATAGCCATCAGTTTGAAAACAGACATCATCAACAACAAAATTTATTCATTTCTGTGGATTCTTTCAAATTTTGAAAATGAACGGTATGTTAATAAACACTGACTTTATAATCATTCAAATTTTGTATACATTATTTTAATTTGGGGGGACATCCCGTATATATATGGTTTGAATGGTTCCTGGCTTCTCTCCACTTTCTACCTGTATGAATCTATACAAGATTCTCTTATCCATCCTGTAACATAGAAATGAAACGCTTATTCTCACTTTCAGGTTTAACTGGTTTGAAATAATGGGTGAAGCCAGATTGACCTCACTTAATTTTCACTCCTTTTCAGGTTTAACTGGTTGTTGAGAAAAATGAAATGAATGTGAATGGTTTTGCAAGCTGTGATACGCCATACAGTTTTAGGTGGGGAAGATTTGAAACTTTCAACAACATCAATTGCCACCATGCTGTTATTTACTTCCAAAGAGAGTGCTTTCTGTTCTGCCAGCCAGGTTTTAACCTTTACTCTCTCCCAGAGCTGACAGTGAGGAATCTCTCAGCTCCCTTACCCTGCTCGGGTTAATTACTCTCTTTTCCTTTCCATTTTAGGAAAATGGACAGCAGGTGCTGAGTTCCCTGCTCCAGAATTTCTGCTGACTCAGGCTGCTTCTTCATTTCCTAGTGAAGAATAAAGAAGCACAGCAACAGCACATGCAGGAACACTGACATAGCTTCCCAGAGCTTAGGTGGAAAGGGTGGATGGAGTCTCTTCTGAAGGGGAAAAAATTAAGCTTAGGCCTCCTCTACCAAAGCGAGGCACTTGGGAGGGGGGTTAGGGGGCCACCGACACAAGGGCAGTTCAGGAAGCCTAAGTTCCCACTCCCCTGTGGCTCTGAGAACTGAGAAACCTGGGAAATGTCCCTTCAAGTCTCTTCCATCTTACCTGGAGGAAAATACCATCCTAGTTATTATAGGGCCTTTGGAACTAACAAGTTACTGGAGGATCAGAAACAGAAAAAACTCCAAAACACTGAATTTTATTGAGACTTTTGGTGTATTTAATTTTAAGAGTGAAAAGTAATGCCAAAGTGGCCTCAAATTTTCCCCTATTTCAATGACTGGCGCAAACAATCTCATTCATTTGATCGGAAATAGCATGTAACCTATGGTCTCTAAAACTGTATCAGTTCATAGTACACTACAAGGAATGACTTACTTAGGACACAAAAGTTTTTCCATAATGAAAACTTTCAACTATCTCAGTTTACAACTTTGTGGGGGTTGTTTTGTTTTGTTGTTTTGTTTTTTGGGGGGGATTTACAATCTTAGATTTATTTTTAACGTGGCAGGAGGGAATAGAGTGTCAGACTCAAATCCATTCTAGTGGTGGTCCTGGAAATATAGGTTTCACTTATAAAGAAATTAAATGATCTTACCTTAGAGGCACCTACAAAGATGAGCTCAATATGTGTGAAATAAAAATTAACTGACTCTCAGTTATTGCTAGCATGTGACACCAAAGCTAACAGAGATATCTGAAATTAATAGATATTCCAAAAACCCAATTTCATTCAATTATTTGAACTTAAAAGTAAAACAGATAAAGGGAATTAGATCTGAATTTATTTATTTATTTATTTATTTATTTATTTATTTATTAACCTATTCTCAACTGACAAGTGTCAGGGAGTGGTGACAGCAGACAAGGGCAGCGGTAGCAGAAGGAGGGAGTGCAACGGCGCTCAGACTGCAGCTCTGGATCATGCAAAACTGACTTTCTGGGGCAGAGTCCTTACGAAATGACCAGGACATAACTCTTAATCTCAGGGATGGCAAAAGCATCATGTAAGTGTCAGTTTGTAACTTTGAATTCGCTTATTTAGAGATAATGTGAAATCATTATATGTATGTGAGGCCCTCCTGGTCCCCCTAGGAAGAGGCTTAATATTGTTGATGAAAAGACTCAGGATGATACAAATTATAACGCATTCTCTTAGCCCTGCATTGAATCGATGGTATATCCTTGTGAATTATTTAAATCAATTATTTTAACAATTTACGTGTTTATTTGTCATTTTCAAATAACTGTAGACGCCTAGGGAAAGAGCCCCGAAATACAGGAGAAATCGGCTAATAAAATTTCATTTGGCTTCAGCTGGTCAAATGCGTGAACCCTTTTGTGTCACAAAAGCTTACAAACTGGAGGCATTGGACTGTGGGACAACCCGGACATCTGACAGCCATATGGTCTCCTGGAACTTGGACTTCAGAATGAGAATGTAAATGTGTGAAAGCAAAGCTCTGCTTCCATTCACATACTCCTGCTCACTCTTTAAAACAAATAAAAACCTCCTGCCTGCAGCCTAAATTATCCGGAGAACATGAAGAACCCGGAAAACTACTTTCAACAATGCACCACCCCTAAAACTGGAAGCGCATTTTGTTTCATTTATTCGCGCCCATTTATTAACTCTTTTCTTCCCCCCACGGGTCCAAAGTACTGAGAAAGAATAATTAACCGAGGAGTTCACTGCGTTTTGACACTTCCGGGTTAGAAGTGGAGATACATAAGAAGGCGGGAGAAAACGCTTTAGAAGCTTTAAAGTGAAATCTGGGAGGACTAGCAGCAGCAGCTCCTCGTTAGTATAGTGGTTAGTATCCCCGCCTGTCACGCGGGAGACCGGGGTTCAATTCCCCGACGGGGAGGTTGAAGTTTTTTTTATTAATTCCCTTACCGCCCCTCTCTATCTTCCTTGTAATTCAGCAATAGGCAAATAGGTGTGTTTTTTTCAAATTGGCGTGTCTTTTCTATCCTTTCCGATCCCTATTTTCCTTGTCATTCAAGTGCGCGACATTGCTGACAAAGACAACATACTAATTTTTGGTTCATTTCTTTGCGTGTCTTTTCTACATAATGACTTTTAAGCTTCATCCTCACCAAGAAATAAGTTACTACACTGAGAGAAAACGCTTTTATAACGTTGGCAAAGAAAGAGAGGGAAGGAAAACGCTCGGGCGGACCTCCTGGCTCCCTCCGAGCCGCTGGCTGGCAAAGGCGTGCGCGTGCGCAGTGAAGCCCCGCCAAATTGCAACGGAGGAAGGTCGCGACCTCGGCTCGCGGGCCCCGTGGGGGAGGGGAGAGGCAGGGAGAGGGCGGAGTCTCCGCCCCTCGCCGGGCGGGTACGAACGGAAATCGCTTCCTGAAGAGGAAGGACGGATTTCCTCCGAACGTGGGGGCTGGACTGAACGGAAACTCCTTCCTCCGGTCTCCGCGAGTTCCGTCCCCACCTCGGTGGAGGGCTATCTGTTAGGAAGCTCTTGGTGGTAAAGGTATCAGTCTCCACCTCCGACTTGGGCTTCGACCTGAACCTAACGGAGGGGCCGGGAGAAAAATCCAGAAGGAGCCGCCGGGGCTGTACAAAAGAGACGCCATGTTACCGGAGTCCTAAGACCCTGCGCGAGGCACAGCCCAGCAGGACCTCGTGGCGCAACGGTAGCGCGTCTGACTCCAGATCAGAAGGCTGCGTGTTCGAATCACGTCGGGGTCATGGCACTTTTATTTTGTTTCCTTCTCAACCACGGGCCTCTTCGAAGCCTAGAAGTTTTCCCGCCATTTTTTTTGAAAATGCCGTTGCCTTTTTAGAATTAAATCTTCCTCGTTCAAATGGTATCCTAATAATCCTTACTCTGCAAAGGGACCAGATTCACTCTATAGCATAGAGCCTTAAGGATCATGATTCTTGTACTGTTTGGCCTTCGAAAGTGAGTTTTCTGTCATTTTAATAGGCATAATGTGTGAAAATGAGGGTGTTTCAGTGGGCATATCAGTCCACGGTACAATATACTGTGCTAGCTGGTTTTCCAAAGCTGGTTTTAGACCCGCTTTTCTTGCCTTTTTGAAAGCAAGAAAAAAAGAATAGAATTCCTAACTTTTAGTATTATAATAGTTTACATGGTTTAGTCCGAGTGCCAGGCACTGTAGACAATCTTAAAATATGCGATTAATATCCCACTTTTATAGGTAAAACTGTGACACACAGGAATAGTGAGCGACCTCACAAGGGTCACCCAAGAGAACAAGCCAAGTGACTTGACTCCAGATCCCCCTCCTCACTAGATGTTTCTAATAAAGGTGGAAATAAACGGTTGAATTTAAGTGATACATCAGTGCACCATATTTTCATGTGAGTGGTGCCATATCAGCCACTTTCAACTACTCTATTCCTTTTGTAAGCTTCAGAACTTTTAGTACTACATAGTTCCTAACAGGCATGTGTCAAATACTTGTACAAAAAATAAATAGCAAGGCTGTAAGAAATGAATATGTTTAGATTTGTATTTAATACGATCCATAAAACTCCGAGTTTTCTTTGTTCAGTGTTTTGAAAATACCAAATATTAATTTCTTAGGATTCAACCTAATAATAGCAGTAGAGCTGAACCCTGTATTTTCACTTTATGTAATTAGTTTTTCCTTTTCCTATTTGGTTAGATTGAGATTAGATCATCCATTTCAATAGGTATTTATGGACCACCACGTATGATGAGCCTGATACTGTGCTAAAGCACTAAGGAAAATGATAGACTGAGTAAAAATGAGTTTGTGTGTATTGTTGTTTTTTTTGTTTTCTTTTGAGCAGCAGTAGACAAATTTGTTAAGTAACCAAATACCATAAATACTTTGGGATAAGTGCCATGAAAGTAGCATAAACAGAGTGGTGTGATGGTGCTAAAATAGGGACATTAACTGCCCTGGGTAGTTCAAGAAGGCCTTATTGTGGAAGACCTTGAAAAATAATGAAAAGTTTGCTATGTGACTTTTAAGGAATTTATTTACCCAATGGACATATTTGAATGCCTTCTTGAGTCAAGCTCTTGTTGCTTAATGTTCCTGGGATCTGATTTCTTCAACTACAAAAATAGAGGTTGAAATTAGTTTGCTAGGGCTGCTATAGCAAAGTACCGCAGAATGGATGGCTTAAACAATAGAAATTTATTTTCTCACAGTTCTGGAGCCTAGAAGTCCAAGATCAAGGTGACAGCAGGGTTGGATTCTTCTGAAACCTGTTTTTGATTTATTATAGATGGCCACCTTTTCACTGTATCCTCTCACAGTCTTTCCCTATACTACGATATCCTTTTATAACGACACCTGTCAGATTGGATTAGGACCACTCTAATTGCCTCATTTTAACTTAATCACCTCTTTAAAAGGCCTTATTTCCAGCCCCAGGTTGAGATACTGGGGGTTTGGGCTTCAACTTATGGATTTTAGGGAGACACAACTTAGTCTGTTACAAAACTTACGTTCTTACTAAAACTGTTTTGGCGCAGTGGATAGACTGTCAGCCTACGGACTGAAAGGTCCCATGTTTGATTCTGGTCAAGGGCATGTATCTTGGTTGCGGGCACATCCCCAGTAGGGGGTGTGCAGGAGGCAGCTGATCGATGTTTCTAACTCACTATCCCTCTCTTCCTCTCTGTGAAAAATCAATAAAATACATTTTAAAAAAAACTAAAAAAACTTATGTTCTTTCTCTCCCCAGCAACCTTTGCATATATAGCATATTACCTACATGCAACAATACTTGATCTTAGCTTGCACAGAGCATGTTATCTAATTTGTACAAAATCGTACTCTTGTGAGATAGTCCCAGCAGGTTGATTTACGTTGTTAATCATTTTGTTAAAGGCAGTCCTGGAAAACTAATACAGCTTTGTTGGAGAACTGCTGGTTCTCTATTATGGCTAGAGAAGAAAAAAGAAAGTTCAGATCACTCACTGTGTACCATCCTAGTTTAGATTTTATTCTGAGGGCAATGCTGAGCTATTATTCAAGAATGTGGAATGGTTGGCCGCGGCTTTACAAAGAATGTAAAAAAAAAACAACAACAACACCTGGACTTAATGTTTCTAGACCTGCATCCTGGGAAAGAGTAAGGAATGCAATTTTTCAGGCTCTACTCTAGGCCTGCTGGCGATGGAGCTAGCAACCTGAGTTTTAACACTGGCCTATACAGCAAGGCCACACTGGAGGTCCTATTTAACTCACAGAGTTGCTAAGAGAACAATTAAAAGACTAACTTGTAAAGCAGTGTATGTATATGTCATTACTAATACTGCTATGATTTTAAAACTGGGATGTCTGTAGTTTCTTAGAATGGCCAATTTGCTGACTCGCTATAACTTTGAACAACCTAAAATCTGACTCTTCATTTTAACCGTCTGCAATCATATAGAAATGACGTGAGGAAAGTGTCTGTAATAGGCAGATCCATGTTTGAATTATCAACTCCTGACAATAGCTATGTGATTTTGTTTTATTTCACACACAAAATTTCCAGTCTGTCATTTATCCCTCCAAGTGGATTTATTCACTGGTACAGAATGCTTTGAACATTTATTTCACCTGTTTAATAAGCCAGCTTTCTCTCTTGAGGTTCTTTTTAATCAGTTACCTAAGGCTGATATACTCTGGATGAACTGAAAATGGAGCCTTTGGAAATGCAAAAGTGACAGACTGAAGTTTGAAAAGCCAAGTGATTCTCACACTGTTTCAAAAAGAAAAGTAGTTGTGGTTACAAAATCATGTATTAATTTTATAAATCTTGGGAAATGTAGAAATATGTAAAGAAAAAAATAAAAATCACTTGTGCCACAACACCTAGAGGAAATTACTAGAAATATTTTGGTCTATATTTATTCAGTCTTTTTTTGTATATATTTTAAATATACACATATCCATACATACTTTAGTTTGTTATAGAACTGAGATATTACCCTAATTGGTTCTCTATTTTTTTTTTTGTTTCTTTTTTACTGATTGCTGTATCATCATTCTTTTAT